TATATATATATATATATATATATTCACCCGCTGCGCAGTGTCACGTATTTCCCTTTAAGTTTTTGCTGGCCAGGCGACGGAAGAGATGGATATCTATACATGAATTTGCTGATGCAATTAATGTGTCAAGTGGTGGTGGGGCTACCTCGAATTAGTGCCCAGTCAGTCTCGAAAGACTGGCTTACAAACCACAACTAAAGCATCCCTAAAGACAAGAGGAAAACGAAAGCAAATGCAGCGTTCTTTCACGCGGCGCCCTCTGCATCCATAGCACCTTCTTCTTCGTCGAACTCCCCTTCTTCCTCAGCGGTGGCATCCTGAAGGGACACACAATACGACACAAAATGCCGTGATGGGCTTTACTGCGCAACACGCCTCCAGAAAACGGTTGTGAGAAATAGAGACTTCGTTCCTCACCTGGTACTGCTGATATTCGGAGACCAAATCATTCATGTTGGACTCGGCTTCGGTGAACTCCATCTCGTCCATTCCTTCCCCGGTGTACCTGTGGGAACAAGACATGATACACGGGCATGCTCGAACGACGAACTACTGCTGTTCACTCTTTCCATAACTGATTTAGAGGTGAAGCTCACCAGTGGAGGAAAGCTTTACGGCGGAACATAGCCGTAAATTGGTCGGAGACACGCTTGAACATCTCCTGAATGGCGGTCGAGTTTCCTACGAAGGTGACAGACATCTTCAGGCCCTTGGGAGGGATATCACAGACGCCGGATTTCATGTTGTTGGGAATCCATTCGACGAAGTAGGAAGAGTTCTTGTTCTGCACGTTCAGCATCTGCTCATCCACCTCCTTGGTGCTCATGCGGCCGCGGAATAGCGCGCACGCCGTAAGGTAGCGGCCGTGGCGCGGGTCAGAGGCGCACATCATATTCTTTGCATCGAACATTTGTTGGGTCAACTCGGGAACCGTCAGAGCGCGGTACTGCTGAGAGCCTCGGCTGGTCAGAGGGGCGAAGCCTATTAGGAAGAAGTGCAGACGAGGGAAAGGCACAAGGTTTACAGCCAGCTTCCTGAGGTCCGAGTTCAGCTGGCCGGGGAAACGAAGCGAACAAGTCACTCCAGACATAGCTGCGCTGACGAGGTGGTTTAGGTCGCCGTAAGTCGGGGTGGTGAGCTTGAGAGTTCGGAAGCAAATGTCATACAGTGCCTCGTTGTCAATAACCTGCACTTCGTCTGCGTTCTCAACCAGCTGATGCACAGAAAGAGTTGCGTTGTACGGCTCGACCACAGTGTCCGACACCTTCGGGGAAGGGAAGACCGAGAAAGTCTCCATAATCCTGTCGGGGTACTCCTCACGGACCTTGCTGATGAGCAGCGTTCCCATGCCACTTCCTGTGCCTCCACCGAGTGAGTGCGTAACCTGGAAACCCTGTAGGCAATCGCAGCCCTCTGCTTCCTTGCGCACCACATCAAGTACGGAATCAATCAACTCCGCGCCCTCGGTGTAGTGACCTTTGGCCCAGTTGTTCCCCGCTCCTGTCTGCCCGAATACGAAGTTGTCAGGGCGGAAGAGCTGCCCGAAAGGGCCCGACCGCACGGAGTCCATCGTCCCTGGCTCCAAGTCCATGAGGACTGCGCGAGGCACATAACGCCCGCCAGTTGCCTCATTGTAGAACACCGAAATACGTTCCAACTGAAGGTCGCTGTCCCCCTTGTAGGTACCAGTCTGCAAAAGGCGAACATATAAATGTACATGTATGCCATTACATGCTGGATGCATGCAAAGACGTAGGTAGATGTACACAGATGGGCAGGCCCAGCTGAATCACATGATTACACGCCAGATGCACATACTTCTAAGCACAAATAAATTATGCCGACATCATAAGGTATCTCAGGAAAACAATTAGTTGAAAAAGATGCATGAACCTCGGACAAAATGGAACGCATTGAAGAGCGGCCCCAGTGGCCTGCTTCGGAGGGCGAGCTCAGCTGTCAAAGAATGATGGCTAACGAAAGCACAGGGAAGGATCGACATGTAGATAAAGAATATAAAATTAAAAAGCATTGCAGATGCCGGTACGAATTAAGGCGAGGCAATCTGTTTTCTGCGTGATTGAAGCGGCCGATGGCTGTGCGCACGGTACACGCCGCCTGCTGGGCCCGCTACTGCACCCTTGCGTGGAAAGAAAAGGGGGCTCTTCAAGCTGCATAGAATTGTATATAGTAAGCTTCTGATGAGTGCTTTAGAAATCTCCATGTGCACCGACGCAAACCGGCGCAAAACACAGAAAAATGCGGGGCTCCTCACCGGGGCTATGCCGTGTTCATCCGAAATAACCTCCCAGAACTTGGCGCCAATCTGATTGCCACATTGGCCACCCTGAACGTGAACAATTTCTCTCATTTTCGCGAAAGAAAGAAGTGACAGGGAAAGGCAACTGCACGCAAAGGGCGGCGACGGGTCAGCGCCCTGCTGCAGGCAAGAAGGGGCACCAGACACAGCAGGCGCACGCAACTGTGCCGATTCCTGCCTCGACAGAACAATCTTTCGGGCAAATTGAGTAAACGAAAGCCAAAGAAGAGAACCTTTCGCCTGTGAGAATCAAGGCAATGGAGGCTTGCGCAACGGAGGGAGCATTTCAGGGGTTGTGGCGGTGGTGGTGCTGGGTGGCTGCTGACGGCCGCACGCGCAGCTCTGCTTACCAACAGGACCGCTTCTCAGTCCCTGTAATTAGATCAAGTCTCCAATTCTAGTTTGTCTTTAGCTCTTCTTGACACGATATACTGATTTTCGAAGAACGGGGTCTAATTAAACCCAATTACTTCCTCGACTAGGGCCCCATCACCCGGCCGCGTAGCCGGCGGTGTGAGCTGGCGCCTCTGCTCTATGCCATAAAAGGTTAGTTTCTGTGAACATCACGCTTAAATAAAATAACTTAGAGCATAGCTTTGACTTTCTGTACCCGCAGACCCATAGCTTGCTCATTCTTTCGGAAGGTATAGGCTGCATTACCACCTGAACCACGGGCTGGGTTGCTGCTGGGCAGGGTGAGTGTAAGTGAGGTGCTGTGGCTGATCGGTCTGCATAATATAATTATTTTAGTATGCCTACTTTAAAATTTAATTTTGTTTTTTGTATGGCACAAGGCTTGAAGCATAATGGTAGAGAGCCATCTTAAAAGACACACTCGAGTCTTCTAACGTAGTGGGAACAATGATTGGGTGGGCGCTGGTAATTGACTTCTATGAGGCCCAAGTCAATCCTTTAAAAACCCGACTTCGGCGTTTTTGTTCTTTTTATTCTCGATTTCAAATACCGATTACGTGACGTCTGAAGCTCCGCTCGTAGTTAGCTTAGCCGACGCTTCATTAATTCGGTACCAACGACGCCCGCATTAAGTCCCAGTACCAAAATTGGGATTTTTTTCGCCTTCTAAATACCGTTTTCGTCCTTGAACTCAAAACGCTATAGAACGGAAGATTTGAGCACAATGAGATTCACTTGGCACTCATCTACGTAGGCTTCTTACTGTTACACCCCAAAATTTCATCCGTCATTCCGATGATCGTTTGTTTTCTCCCTAAACCCACCTGATGACGCTACAGAAGGTTCTGCTCCTATGGTTCTGCAATGGCTGGATGCGTTCATCTCCCAGTATTCAATTCGGCCAACAGTAGTGCTGTAATGAAGTGGTTCGACTTGAAAATTGTTAGTTTAGGAGTAAAATATCGCAGTCACTATTTGTAGTACGCTGAATGCACAAGGCTGCTTCTACCAGTAGCTGTCCCGGCCTGTATACTCCAGGCAGAGTAAATGCATCTGCTTCTCTGGGGAAGTAAAGATTCCAGAAGCAGCAATAATGAGAAATTTTCCCTTGCGTCATCCCTGGGTTTTATCGAGAAGAACTTTGGGTTCCCCGGTTGAAAGTAAAACCTTCTATTCCTCACTAGGGTCTACATAAACTTGTATATGCTTGCTTTCAGTAGAATAAACAGCTCTTTTGCGTCGAATTCCATTCACATCCGGGAGTCGGCTCACTGGTGGGCAAGTGGCAATTCTTAGGGTCTAAATCTTGTAGTTCCTCAAAATACACATTTCAGGGCTCGATTGTAGTTTGGTCTTGTGGCTTAATTGGTGAGAAAGCAGCAGTGAGAAAGCCGAAAAGCCGACGGCCTTCGTGTTTTGCTATAAGTGTGCAAGTAAGCCAACTCACGACCCGACGCATTCAGGATGAACCAATAGATTACTTTGACACCAATGAGGGGGTTTTCAAGGCTCAACAGATATTTGGGAACCATTGCAGACAGTGTTTGCTAAAATCTCTGTAAAAGCGTTTCTGCCACTTCCTGCACTAGCTTTCAAGTGCCCACAGTGGCCATCCTTACTGTTTAAGCATCCAACTAGCTAGGTATAAGCAGTCCCAACAGCATGAAAGGAGTCACTGTATACATTAACCTCGCAAACTTGGTTTCAGCAGAGTTGTGGGTGCCGGTCCTTCGTGTGTTTTCAAGGTAACGAAGAGGAGTGCTCACAGGCAACTCGAAGAGTTTTATTGTTCAGCGAACTCGAAGAGGAAATGTTCTTTTGTGATGGGCAAGTGCTAAGAGACAGGCTGAAGCGTTTGTTTGTTGTTGAAGCGAACTCGAAGTGGAGATGTTCTGAGATCGCAGCACTGCACTTCTATCCTACGTAGGCAAAGCCGCCACATGAGTGCAGTAATTTGACATCGACTTCGAGCTTGTGCAAAAGCAGATACCCCTTTCTGCTCAGAAGTACTTCGTCATAGAGGGATCAAATAGTTGATGATGGGATCGCAGCTATTTCGTCGATTTTATCGAGCCTTCACTTTTCAGGGATCTCAACACATACTTTCAACGCAGGTTCTGCAAGCCTTACCAAGAGTAAAGCCACACTCAAGTATTCTTCTACACGCCGAACCTGTCAAGGCACTCAATTAGGCTGCAGCTAGAGCGCAACAGGAAAATGACCGTTGTTTTCGCAGACACCCACTATCCACCTGACTGACCAGAACTCACAGGTTTACGACCCGCCAGTTAGCTTATATCCACTGTCTAATTATCTAAGAATTTCTTTAGTGAAGTCCCTGTCTCTTCTATGGAATAAGTGAATAACCAAACATCGCAGCCCGTACGTTCTTATTCTAGAGCAAGTTGCGGCGCATGAAGGTTTGACAAGCTCACTTCACTCCTGCGAAGCCGAACAAATGGCCTAAGAATAAATTGTACACGTATTATAATTATTAGCAATTGTCCACGGATAACTCTGAGAGCACTTTCGACCAATATTTCCCTCGGTTTCTTCAACATTCTCAGTCTGATTGATTGTATCAATCGGACTGAGAAGCCACTGGATGAACCAGCACCAGCGCACAGTTATTCGCTTTCTCACGTCCCATAAAGTTCCCTAACTAACTGTGTTGAATTTTAAATAGCACTAAAAATGCGAGTAATATATTTGTTTTACTAAGGACCGTCTTCTTGCTGAAGGGCCAACATTGCGGAACCGTGCATAATCGGTTTTCGTCTGTCGTCTTCGTCGATTCGTCTGTCAGTTCTGCGTTTCTCTGGGCCACTAGAACTATGTTTTCAACTACCCCTCAACTCAAAGCATCGACTGTTTCGCAATAGCTGACTAACTTCGCCAAAATGCTCCTTTTACGACGGGCAAATATTGTCCTCCCAATATCCCGCTTGTAGATTGTCCCGTGGTGCCGTCCTCGAGTGCGTCTTTTACGCGCATTCTGAGATTGGATACCCTACTTTTTCTGAAAGGAAGTCAAGATGAGGGAGTGGTTGGCCCTAGCAGCGCTCGGCGCATCATCAGGAAGCTTGGCCACTGGGCTCGGTGGGTTCGATGTTGTTGCGTTTGCATCAGCAGCTGACGGCCCGGGCGTTGTTGCTACCAATAATGATGGCCACTCGTATAGCCCCATCTCGGCGGAAATGTCGGCAGGTCTTTTGGTGGGGGCGGACGATATGGTACTTACAAGGAATAGTGGGAGAGAGGCAGTACAACCACCGGAAACGGGGACCCGAAGGTCACGAGAAAAACATGAGAAAGTCCTGGGGCAGGATGAAGAAGCATCCACAGGAAATGCTATTGTCGATGCTGCCCCTGCAGTTGGTTCTGGTGTTCGAGAGGAACAGGAGCTGGTGACAGAGGATTTGCACTATACGGGTAGTCGGTCGGGTTCACACAGCAACGCGAAGAATTCGGATTTCCCACGGAGAGACATGGAAGGGAATTCTGTAATTTCGGCAAGTGGGAGCGGGTTCTCGAAAGGGGGAGGTGATGCCCAAAGCCTATTGCTACTGAACATGGACCCTTTGTCTCCGTTGCTGTTGCTCCCACGAGCTCCTCGAATGGCGGGCATGAAGTCATTTGTCTTGGGGTTAGTGCTTCTGCTACTGGCTGGGTGGATTATTTTAGAGGGGGATGACACTGTGGCTTTCGGCCCCGCCCATTCATTGGCTAGTGCCGGGGACCTCGACCGCGAAGATGTTTCCTCTATTGCCTCTACCCTGCTGGTGCTCATTGGTGCACTTTCTCTTCTTTCAGCGGTGTACAGACACCTTCACATTGTTCGCCAACAACTTGAATGGATTCAGAAAGCAGAAGAGGGGATAGAGACCGCAAGAATGCTTCATCAAAGCAGGCTGAAGCGAATCTTGGCGCGGCAGCGTTATGAAGGGGTAATCACTGATGTTGGCAAATATGGCTAAAAATGCATACTGTGAAGATATTGTGAATCATTTTTGTGTAATACGTGAATGGAATATAAAACGATGCAACGTTTGCAAATATCCGAAGCAAAACAGCAAGTGAGGGATGCAAGCTTGTACTTCTTCAACAAGCCAGCATGAGGCAAGAATGGAGGCATGGGAAGCCTTTCCATGGTATTACTGTGTATATATTGGGTATGAAAGAAGCGCGTTGCACTGAAATTGAGCAGTGGCTTATTTCGGTGTTTGGGCGGGCTCATTGGCAACAGCCTGGCTGAGTCATTAGGCAGGACAGATTGAGAATCAAATGATGCCGAATTAGGGCCTTAGGTTTAACGGAAACTGCGGGAAACTGTAGATAGTGGAGCCACGCAGGCTATGCGCCTCGAGGCAATGCTCAGCTGCAGCTGCCGTGTTCAGAGAAACTCAACGAATTAATAGGTATGCCTAGCCTGCAAATAGGTGTGCGGTGGCCCGTTCATAGAAGACTCGGTTCCTATGTACACCGGGTCGTCCTCGGAACTTCACAGGCCGAGAAGAACAGAAAGGAACAGTGCAATCTTTGCGATCTGTGGCTGAGTCAGTTTAAAGAAAAAACAAACAGCACCACATTTGCACCGATATGTAACAGGCTGGCATAGCGTAAGGTATATTATGAACCTATCGAACGACCCTAGTTAAGTAGGCAGCAGCATACTGCATATACTATTATAGCTGCAGAGACACATAGTAGTCTACACAGTACGCTGTGCACGGTCCAACTGTCAAGTTAAGAATGGACAGAGGAGTCATTTGAATAGGGGCTGTTTTAGGAGGTGACCTGAATTCGCTAGGCCAGTTTGCTCATTAACAAACTGGCAGCGTGTTGGCGCGTAGACGAGGAGTGTCTCGAGGGGCGAGAGCCTGTGGTTCCTTTCGCTGAACAGGCCGCTGTAGTATATAAATGTCCCTCAGTGTTAGTAATTGAGTCAGTTTACCTACTGAAAAGGGGTTGTGAGGCAGTTGTGAAGAGCTCTTTGGGGAGTTGTGAATGCTCTCGAGCACAAAAGTGGTTGACATTGCGGAACTGTACATCGTTGCCTGACAGTGGGTTGTGCCTACGGATTATGTGTAGGTTAGCTCTTGTAGAGGCTATTCTTACTGGCAACTAAAAGCTTCGTTCCTGCATTTCGCAGGGTCGAATGGATGCCGTTACTCGTGTGTTGCTGAGGTTGACCGTGCTGTATTGCACGGACAGATTGTGCTTCGAGAGTGCCGAAGTCTTCGCCTACCACATATATAGTGCTAAGCTATTAAGATGATGCTTTTAAAATGTTGGCTGTATAAGGTGACTAGAACCGGATGGTGATAGTACTTTTCGCCTCTGCGCATGTGCCAGCAATCGAACGAGTTGGCCCTTCTGCAATTGGCTATGGACCGGCTATTGACTCTCTGCACCCTTGTCTGTATTATATTGTGTAACCCCCATTAAATAATGAAGATATACATTGTGAATATGATAACAGCGAATTCCAGTGTGCTGATGGGGTAAGTACCTCCCCTGCATCGTTTTACTCCGACGCCCTCTGTGGAATACATGCTGGATCTGTCAAACACAGGTATAATACCTTCCTTCATAGTGGACTGGAGCCGATTACTACATATCTGGACCGAGGATTGGATGGCCTAGCAATTGATTTATGCCGAGGATTCTACCTCCGTATAGAGAAAGCACTTCTCGTTACCGCTCTTCAAGGCGTACCTGCCCATGCTGCCTGCTGCATAGACTCGCGTGCTGCAGCTGGGGCACACGCCTGTCTTCACTGTGCTTTCTTCCTGCTAGGAATTCAAGCTGCAAAACAGAAAAATGCCTATCACAGACCATGAACCGCTGTCGGAGTCGTCTAGAAGGAGACTAACAGAACTCAAAGGCGGTGACTGGTGGATACTCGGGTCTACCAGTTATGCTGTGGTCGGTGAGTTTTTCTAAATAAAGTAGCTCGGTTGGAATGTGGCCGAGTCCAATAGACAATTAGTTTACCCGGCATCTGCGTCAAGCAGATTGTCTTGATGGTGTGCGTTTGGCAGGGTGCATCTCTGAACAGATGCATTTATACGTTTGTGCAGTATACTGCACAGCACTGTACTGCTTTTCAGTGATATTTCCCGCCGTTAACTCCCTGCTTCGAATGCTTTGAATGGACAGACCCGACGAAGCCAAGGACTCCCAGCGACCTTGTGCAACGCTTTAACAGACCTAGGCAGCTCACGGATGAATTGGACGGTTCTGGCTGGCCGCCCTTCAGGCCAATGTCGGGGGCTGTAGGATTCCCTGAACAGTGGAGGTACATTAACCTCCTCATTCCCCAACAGGACAATGAAGTCGTGAAGGGCAATGAAGACTTCCTAGACTTGCTAAAGAAGTCCAGGCACGGAAGGTCTTCAGTTCCAGATTCCAGGAGCTTCACGGGGAGCAACTTTGCTAGCTCGGCCAATGTCCATCGGACTGTTTCCCGCGGGCAGAGTTCCTTCATCATTATCCCAGCTGCCAAAGCTTCGCTTCGTGATACAGGCAATTCTTCAACAACTGTGCAGTACCACGCAAAAGTGCCCTCCTTTCGTGCGATCGTTAGACAATTGCAGGAGGACGCTCAACGCCATCGCCTCAGGGAAGTCAATTTACTAGCGAACAAGGGACAGAGCACCGAAAGAGTGCCCAGCATCCAGTATGCAGCTGCTGATTCTGCTGTTGGAATTGCAAGGACCTCCAGCATGGGGGGTAAGGATGGCTTAAACGCACGAAATGGTACTGGAACCATTGCTTTTGATGCGTCCGCGAGCATTGGATCCTCGACAGATTCGTTATTCCACAAGCTGGCACGAGAAAGGCTCAAGAGGAGCTTCACTCGCCTAGCGACAAGAATGAGCAGTTCAGTTTCCCATACACAAATTGAGCAATCGGAAAATGAAGTGAGCTCCCGCTACTACTAAACTCGTTCGCAAAGCTAGCAGAGTAGTGGGAGTTTGCCTTCCCCTCTCTATAAGTTACAATATGGCAAGCAACGATATTTCCCCTACCAGTGCGTTTTCCATTGCTCTTGTAGGCGAACGCAGACTACTCTGACCCCGGCGTTGCTGATCTCTACAGGCGAACAGTAGGTACCTTGAAGCAACTGAAAGAGGGCGCTCATCTGCTATACAAGGAAATGCACAACTTGCAGCGAGCTGCTGAAATCGCAGAGAAGTTGGCGCCTCAACTAAAACCTGAATTGGATACGAACGATGGTGAGGCTGGATCGGAGATGAAGCCAAGCAACCTTCGAAGTGGACTTGTTATTGGGAGCTTGCAGCTGCTTGGGATAGATATCAAAGAGCCTCACGCTGCTATGACTGATAATCAATTGCAGGAAATGCAGAAAGCTGCGGAAGCTGCACGACAGCAGCGCCTGCTCCACGTGGAAACCCTACAGCGGCTCCACGAGCACTTAGTCATTGCGTGTGGTGAGTTTGTCCTGGTACAACTGTCTAGTGGATGCTTTTAGACAACCGCATCTGCTTGTCCTTCCAGAAAGTAGTAGAATGCGCAGCTACGCTCTGAACCACCAGACAGTGGGTTGAAGTTGCAGTTTAAGTATGCACAGTTGCTATGTTTTTCTCCATGAGCTTTTGTGGCAATTCACACCGCCGCGCAGCTGGGGAACTAGTTTCTTGTCCTCCAATGTTCGGATTGTGCGTGCCTCAGAATGCCATGAGAAGTTCAGGACAGCCCCACCATCTGTAGTTTGTTCTGCCCTCAGTACCATCGATACAGTGGCGGAGCGGTGGGTGACATGGGAGCCGCATGCACCTTTGTTTCTGCCTGTGGCGCTGGCTGCTCTGGCTTGCACTATGTGGGTTTCGCTGCACTTGCCTTTCTGGTGTGCACCAAGCGTTAAATACATTGCGTTCGGCTGTGCAGTTGAGCTACTCGCATCGCCCCACGGCTTCTTGCGCCTACGAAAGGACAGCTCACCGTGACAACAGCATGTGACCCGTGTGGTATGAACACCCATTTCCTCTCGGAGTAGCTTAGTCTAACAAGAACAGTTCCTCTTACGTATTCTGCTTATGCGCATAGGGCATACAATGCTTGCACCGTTGGGTCCACTGAGGTGGCAGCCCAGACCCTTGCAAGCTTACTTTTACACGATGGTTCGAAAAAAGCAGCCCAGGAAGTCGCAGAGCGCAGTTTCCGTCATTCACTAATGAATGATTCAATGTTGGAACACAGGAAGCTCATTGAGGGCGTTGTCGTGAGGATGCTTGCCCTTGTCTTAGATCACGACATGCCGAAACCAGCCCCCCGTACATCGTCTCAGCTGCAGGTCCCCCCAGGGCAGCGCACTCCTGCTGTAGTGACCAGGACAGAAAATGTGCTCGGCAATTTGGCTGCTGAACAGGTGTCAACGAGCAGTTGCTTCTTTTCCGTTGTGTCTGTGGCTCAACAAGCAATCGTGGCTATCCATGTACGCCAGAATATCCTGTCCCTATTTTGGCCCAAAGCACAATTTGTCCAAGCTAAGTTGAGCTTTGAATTATCATCATCTAATTATCAGTGGTTTTGCCAAAAGACCGCATACCTGTGGCAGTGCATTGGCATCCTGCCAAAAGCAGGTCTAGCCTATTCTTGGTGAGCCCATTGTTATAGTAAGAGTTTGTGCAACTGTTCAGGAAGCTGGCGGTCGACGGGGAGACCCAGTGTCTCTAGTGCGCGAAGCTGAACGACATCGCGACCCCAGAATTGCTCAGAATGAAAGGGCTCTGCTTCAGAAGTTGGAATTTGCTTTTCTAGAGCTGCGCTTGAACATGAACAAGCTCCTAGCTCTCCGCTTGGCACTAAGCGAGCTGGGCTGCACTCAGCAAGCATGGGATAAAATCAATGAGTTCAACACTCGCATAAAAGCTCTCTCCGGTGAGAAGGGACATACTGATGAACAGGCCGACTGAAGTGCCACGGACGTCGGTGCTAGTTGCTATTCGAGGACTTTTGTGTTTTATTCTCTGTTTTTCGCCTGGATTTACTTCTTCCCTTGTAGTGATGTTGAGTTGGCGCCCTTCAGCTTTTTGGACACTCGGTTTAGCATGTGCAATAACACAGCTCTCCAAAGCTGTCCGCCTAGCTTGAGCGCGTACTTGAATTTCCACCTCCAGATAACCGCTGGGATGCGGATACTGTGTCCGCTCCACAGTACAGAGGCACCCGACCGTTGGCAGCCTCCCCGAAAAGTACTGAAATGTTGCTAAGGGGAGAAGGCCAAAATTTTGACGAATTCTCTGGGGAGAGATTCAGTTTAGTTTCTGTCATTCGGCATAAGCACCATCACGACTGAGTACGATACACCTGTCCCCGCTGCTCTCTGGGTGGGATTCACTCCTAGCACCTGGACATCGCAGTAATGCAAGCAATTCAACGTGTGACGAGAATCAACTTCCCTCAAGCGGCTATATGCCTTTCAGTTCAAATGAGTCATGGGCACGCCTGCAAAAAGGCCTGGGCTGGCTGGCTGTTGAGGAGGCATTCCAAGAGAGGCAACTCACCTTACTGCACAAAGGAAGCAACTCCACTCCTGCAGGTGTCGAAGTCCCTTTTCGATGCGTGCAGTAGCACTGTAGAACAGCGTTAAGCAGTTGGCTGGATGTCAATTGCCAGCGTATGTTTAAGTAGAAATGCATGTACCAGCTTCACAGGGAATATGTCTAGCACCCCACACCAAATTGCACCACCAGTAGGCGGTTCAATGTACAAATTTTGGGAGGGTGCACTACATCCCCAGACAATAGCGTAGACGTAGTCTGTACTCTGAAACACATAACAGGACTATACCCAGTGAAATTCAATGGTTCACATAGGGCAGCTCTCCCGCTGGTGTTCCTTAGAGCTGCGCCTGAGAGAGGCAGAAAGGCAGGGCCCATTTGAGTCTTGCTGGGGTTATAAGACACGTCTACTGGGATCATCCGTCCAAAATATGCGTAGTAAATAAGAAAACATTGGGGAAATCAGGATTAGATTACCCTATATCTCGGATAGTCTGCTCGAAAAACACAGGCTGCGCCAAGGAGGGCCCCTTTACTTCTGTTGCCCCAATCGAGGCTGTGCTTGCCGCTGCATCCTGCCAACCCTCTTCATGAGGACAAAAGCATACAGACTGAAAGGTGCACGCAATTCGACGCCCTTTTATCTGTTCCGTACGTCGGTGAGGCAGAAACGGTCGCATGGAGTGGAGAAGGACGGTTCCGGGCAAAGTTCGTTCACCTGTGCTGCTGTCCCTCCCACCTGCACTCCGAAACACTCATTTGACCGATTAATATGCTGGTATTTGTGGAATATTCCTAGCAGTGCCTGCTTTAAAGGGTGCTTATAGAGACGTACTCGTGCAGCAGGTGGCGCACTGAACCCCTCGATCCAAGACTTGTGAATATGCCTCACGGGCACGCACCCGGCGGACTTGTTTCGATGCAGAAGTGCTCTCACATCAGAGCTTCCTCAGCTCCCAATTTTGCTCATCTCCAGCCTCTATCAGCAGCGCAGAGCCAAAGAGGCCTCGCAGTCACCGAGCCAGGAAATCCGTGTGACGGGCGACAGAGGCGTTTGCTTCAACAGCGCAGCTACAAGGAGGCCCGTAGAGCCGACAAGAGGATCAGATATTCGAGTGGGCTGCTGGCAGTCTTCATTGCTGTCTTTTTTATAGTGTTGGTCCCCATGGCAGCACAAGCAAGTTCAGGTATTGGCCCACGAGGGCTCCGACTTAAGGGGCTCCTCCAAGAAGCCTTAAGCTCGAAAGACCCCTGTACAGCCATCGCCGATGCCGTTAAAGAGGGTGGCGTGCGGGTCCTTGCTGTGGACTTCGACATGACGATGATCACTGCACATTCGGGCAAGTACAGCCATGCCGGCACCTGCAACTAAAAGATGTTGCACTCTGCGACAGTTTTTGCATAATGCAGTTCACTGCCATCATGCATTGTCTGATGAGAAATATTGTACCGAACCGCAAGAGGAAGGGTGTAGACGGAGGCATGCACGGCATGCAGCTCAGGAATCTCACTAGTCCGCTTTTATACAGCAAGAGCTTTCCTGTGGTCGATGGTGTGCAATTTGCAGGAGGAAGCGCTTCAGACGTGCCTGACAACCCCATCTTCACAGCTCTTTCACCGGACTTTGATGCATTTGCAGCGGCGGTGTCTTCTCGTGGAATTCGTATTGCGGTGGTGACTTTTGGAGGTGAAACCTGTCTATTTTGCATGTAACTGTGCGTTAGGCGTCCTCTTTTCTCTGTTGTGAGCTGCAATTGATGTTTAGTTTGACTAGCAAACACCCCAGAGGTTGCCCGGAGGGTTGCTTTTTTTCTGTTTGCTCAGACCCAAAGGCAATCGCTTCGAGGCCAGGTCGTATAGCAGGCGAGCAGCTCGTGCGGCGGGTACTTGGAGAGAGCACTGCCTCGTTTGATGTCGACGCTGTGTTCGCTTTCTATCCTTCGTGAGCTGGGAGCACATCAGGAGTCCCCTGCTGATTTATAGTCACCGCTGGAACTTTAGTGGAGAGTCTTCACCCTGTGAATCGGGAACTATTTTTGTATGCGGGAAAATACGGGGTTCGGTTCATGAGGTTTGATGCTTTGATACCAGGCTTTACAAACTGCCTGCTGATTACGAGCCCCTGGGTTTAGACAGGCCTATGCCTTACAACAAATCCTTCCACATTGGCAAGGTTAGTTCCTCTTCGCTTCACCGACATGCAGCATATTTGACTTCGTGATTCTGGTGTAGCCTCACTGTACTATTGTTGAGAGGAACTCTAGCGCCTCAGCCTATATTACGACCCATCCCGCCTTTTCTGGAAAGACTAAATGCCCGTGCTACCATTACGAACGAAGAGGCATCCTTATAGTATGATGTGAATGCGTGCAGCTTCTAGAGCGGTTTGGTGTTTCCAAGGAGGAAGTATTGCTAATTGACGACGATCTGAGCAACTGCGTGGCCTTCGCAGCTGATGGGGGCGTTTCGATGCGGGTGGGTGGCGACCAAGGGTTCGATTTTGCCACTTTGGAAGTCATATAAACACTTTCTCTAACAATTTATATCCGTGGTCAGCCTCTGCAGTGGCTTCCAGAAGCCAGTGAAGTTGGACGCCTGTTTTCCGTCTTCCCAAAATGATGCGCAGTTCCACGGGTGAGTTTCCCTTTTGGTATACCGATTACATACGGGTTGTTCAACAGTGCCTTGAAGCCATAATGCCGAGTTTCGCGCCTCCGCGGGTGCCAGGTGGAGAGATGCTAATAAGTTTTCGTACTGCAACTGTTGTAGAATGAGTTCGCTGGGGTTGGGACGGTCGTCATGCTTGGGAAGCCACAATACTGCCAGGGCGTAACCTTTTAGATTAACACCTGACCACAGGAGTACCTTGACAGAGTGGCATTTCGCGGAAGCAGAAAGCCAGATAAGTGGAAGGACGGCGTGCACTTCCAAGCTGGCTTAACCAGAGAAGGAAAGTCAGCAGCCCGAGCCACAATTTTAGAGGCAGGGAGAGGGGAGTGCATAACTGAAGAAAATGACTGTAGTTCGCCTGGTAGTGATGCGCCATCCCACTACTGCGCATCGCAGAGGGGATGGGGCCTTGGGACTACAAATGAAATACGGTTCCATTAGACCTCTCGCTCCATATCGAAACAAAGTTTGGAGCAGCTTTTACAATGTTGCCAGGGTTATACGTGAGTGCACTTTAGCGTAGGCTTGCTGGCGTTGATGGGCAGGCTTGTAAGCTGTACTACGCCTATCCAGCATCCAGCAAGCATCCACCGTACTCCAGTAGTTGCCGATTCAAACTAGCAGTAAATCAAATGCATGTAGCTCGGAACGTCAACGCCACCCTGTCTTGTGGCTTTTCCAGCAGGAATGATAGCTGGGCACGGGGGGTTCAAGCCATTAGAAGATTGTGCCACTGAAATAAGCAACTACGTGCCCCGTAGCTGTATAACGGTTCTCTAGTTTCTTCATTGATATTAACGCGATGTTCACGTATCAACAGGCGGGAAAGATCTACTGCATTTTAATCGGCCTTGTGGAAATAGGCCTTCTTGCCCGCCCTGTCAGCGTTGGATTCGGATGCTCTGCGTTTCTGGCCATCAAAAAGAGCGATTAGACCTCCATCGCCACCCTTGCGTTGCTGTTGCTGTTGCTGTTGGAACTGCTGCAACTGCGGGCACACAAACCCACAAAATGAAGCCACTCGATGCGTCTACAGACGGCAACAGTGGCCTTGCCACATGCAGTTCATGTCTGCTCTGGAGAGTCAAAAATGGCCTATATGGCCTGGGGGAGTTGCTAGAATTGCGAACAGACCTGAAGCAACCGCTGAATACTGGACTTTCTTGCAGTCTGCAATTCTGAAGCTCCTCCAACACCATTGCGTCCCAACTGTTCAGTTGACTGGTCCGCCGGCGGAAAATTTTCCTGATAGGCGGCCGGATCTGATGCTGGAGCTGTTGCTGCAGCAAAATGTTGGCGTTGTTGCTCTTGCCACAAGAGTGCTTCCCTTAGCTGCCTGTAAAAAAAAGCATGGATAAAGAAGGCCTAAGCGTGAGTGCAGGGATTAACTCCACAGCTTTCCAGTTCCGAGGCATTGTGCGTGTCTCATGAATCACTCGAAAAATCAGTCCTAATCATAGTGGCAACGTGCTCGTCACCATCTTCGAGCATCAACGTGGAGAGGCAACATCATACCAGCTTCCCTGACATAGTTACACTGGCAGAGGCTCCATTTTTTCTCCACATTAACTGGAGATCGATCGACATGGCAAGCTGACGCTGCTGCCCTATACGGAAAAGTGTATATATATATATATATATATA